ATCTTTAATATGTTTTTGTAGGAAGCAGTTATAGGTTAAGCCTCAGACTGACCTGCTGGCAAAGTTGCACAGCCCCCTAAGCATAATAAAGCTTAATCTTGTAACTGCTCCCTAGATCTTCCTGTGTAGCTAATGGGCTGTGGGAGGGGCAGCAAGTGATGCCAAAACAATGAAACTTAAAAGAACATTGTAAATTGCCTTTTTTGCCCCTGACTACAAATAAAGCACCAGCTTTGCAGTCTGGGTCTGTTCCGTGGCCTCAGCCAGGCACAGAAGATCCACCTAGACCCAGCTTATTCTCTTGTCTTCCTTTTCCATCCTTCACCGCCCACCCTCAGGCTCACTGAACCCTTGGCTGTGCTGGTGCGGCACAGTTTTCATAAAAGATTGGCTCAAATGTTATGAAGTATGCGTCAATTGCTGTGCACGTTTCTTTGTCAACTTCTGCTTCACACCCTGCTCTCTGGTGGGGAAAATGGGAAACCTATGGCGTTTCTACAAGGTGCATCAGGTACACTGCAATTTATGGCTGTATCCTATTGCTCCTTAAAACTTTCCATAGACTCCCATTTGTCCACAAAATCTGGCTACTGAAATGAAGCTGGGAGACACTTTCCTAGCAGGATCCAGGTCCTACCAAGCACCCCTAAAGTTGGTGGTGCTGTGGTTTATAAAGCAAGACCATGTGCACTGTGGCTATAGCCACACACCCGGGAAGCAGGCAGCACTCCATTTCCTGGCCGCGTGACCTGGAGCAGCTTCTCTGTACTTTGGTGTCCTTGTCCATAAAATGGACGTACTCAGAGGACCCCCCTCATAACACCCCTCTTGCTGCCAGGGACACAGCGCCATGGCCAGGCCAGACCTAGACTTACTCTCGCCCCACAGGCACCAGGCGGAGAGGCACTCATTCAGTGGGAAGACCACATACCTGGTCTCCTGAGAATGGTTTCTTCCCTCTCATCAGGTGAAGTATGAAGTCAGGGAGCTGTTGAGTGACCTTATAAATACTATGTAGAATGTAGGTGTCGTCATTCTCCAGTCATTCTGGTCCCATTTCTTCCTAAAACATGGAATGCTGAGCAATTATAAGGGTTCAGGTCTGCCCTATGGGCCAAGTCCTACTGGGCTGCAATGTACTCAAAGTTAGAAAAATCCTGCAGGGAGTCAGTCTGTCCATTTCAGGGGCCCATCTCCAACTAGATTCCCAAAGAACTCTTACTGAGCAACCACCGTCACCAGAGCCCTGTGCTCAACTGCTGGGAATTGTAAAGAATTGTAAAGAACAGAAGTTTACTCATTCCCTGAGTTAACAAATATTTATTAAATTCTCAGTACCAGGTACTGACCCGGGCACTAGGCAAAGAGCATGGAAAACAACAGATGAAGGCCCTGCCTTCCAGAGCACATGACGTTGGGAGATGGAGGGGCAGATAACGAACAGCTAAGTAAAGAGTGGGTCAGTTGGTACAAGCTGCACGGAGAGGACACAGCAGAGAAGGGAGGTGTGGGTGAGGGTGAGGAGCACAAAGCCGTCTGGGAGGGTACTGTTGGCACGGACAACCTGCTTGGCACAGGCACTAATCTGAGACCCAGCTAGCCTTCCCTAGAGCTGGCATGCGAGGGGGGGAAGGAGTGAGGAGCCCTCAGCAGAGGCTGGAGCAGCTTGTGAGAGCCAAGGAAGCACCACTTGTGTAAAGAAAGGGCCCACAAAAATCACTAGCCATCCATCACTGCCTCCGGGGTGTGCAGGGCACCTGGTGGCCAGACAGGAGAGGGATAGTAAACTGCAGTCTAGCAGGTGCCAGCCCGGGCACCCTCAGGAGCCAGCACAAAGCTAGGCGCCCTTCTCCCTTCTGGTTTCATAAGGACCTTTTAGCCACCTGACCACCCGCCCATAAGCCTACCCCACCCTCATATAAAGGCTGAGAAGGAGAAGAGGCTGTGGGGAGGATGCCCAGGTTATCGAAGGGAACTACACACAAAAGGGACCGGGCTCCACTTTACTACATGGTTGTCTCTTGCTACCCGGAAGGTGAGAACTCAAGATAAAATCAGATCAACTATAGGTGAAGAAATTACATCTTTGCTGCCTATGGGAGGAGGGCAGGAGGGAGAAAAAGTGGAGACAATGAATATGAAAACTCTTTTGAGGTGTTTTGCTCAAAACATGTAAACAAACCAGAAGAGGGAGGAAGTATGATACAGGAGAGAGAGAACTGCAAGAGTACTGTCCTTAAGGAGGTGAATGAAGTACTGAAGGGACAGAGCTGACTTCAGGTTCAAGTACCACCCACCCCATTCATCTGTCCAGGGGAAATGAGAGGAGGTGGGTGGGTATGGTGGATTGAGTGGGGGTAGTGTTGTGGGGTCGAACCCTGGGTTCAAAATAAGACCACCGGAGGCTGATGATTTATTAAAAAAAAAAAAAAAAAAAAAAAAAAAAAAAAAAAAAAAAGCAGGCAAAGATTTATTGAAATATCTGGCCAGGACAGCCGCAAGAGCACCACACACAGGTGGACTCCAAATGACTGTGCCGCTTTAGGGGCAGGTAGTTATTTTTAAAGGTTCTGAGGAGGAAAACCCCTATTTTGCAACAAACTGTTGTTTGGAATTTTCTGCTGTTCTTCCTAGATAAAATGTTGCTTTCTAGTTTGCTTTAGCCCTTTTGAAGAATGATGAAGATATACTTAGCTGTCTGACTTTGTAGGCCAGAGACCAGATATGCCCACAATCTTAATATTAATACCATGCCAGGTGCACCTTCTCAATTGGATAGAACAGCATTGTTTTTCAAGGCCAGCAATGAAATAACCACTAAGTGCACATAGGGCTGGCTCTTTAATTAAAAAAAAAAAAAAAAAAAGGAAGGAAGTTCTGCCTGTAACCTTGCTTAGAATTTGAATTCATCCTATTTCAGGTAGGGAAAGAGGTCTTGGGGGCTGAGGAGAGAGGAGGGTGCACAGAAGAGTGGCCTGGAGGGTGGAAGACTGAATGGAAGAGGATGAGGATGACTGGGGAAAACTAAGCACCCCTCTAGAGGTTGAGAATTTCAAGTGAAACAGCAGCTATTTGGAGTGTGCATGGAGTAGGCAGAGGATTCTGCTTAGCCAGGCGTGGCTGTCCTCTGGCCCAGGAGACAGCCGTGGCAATGGAGAAAGCACAGGAGCTGAAGGTGTTTGCCTGGGAGAGAGCAGGGTCACTCATGGAGCTTAAATTGGGTAAAGTAAGGACTTGAGGCAGGTGAGGGACAAAGAAAAGGGAGGAGGAGCAACCATTGGAGGTCCCAGTACAATTGAAGGATTGTAGGGGTTGAGGTATTAGAGAAAGTGAGCTAGCAAGATGGGTGGTGAAAGTCGGAAACTGGTATGACTGAAATGGAAGTGAAGGAGGATTCCCAGATCCTTGCAGTTATGAATGCAGTAAGGGATGTCCACAGGAGCCACTGCCCTGGATGGGGAGACAACAAGATCAGATAGAAAGGAGAAACCAAGGCATGGCCAGACTCATGTGTGGGTGTAAGTTTTATCAGGAGGAATGCTTGAGAGAGGGGCAGGCAACAAAATCCTCAGGGGTAAGGGTGGGTGATGAGGGAGGGCTGGAAAACCTGAGGAAGTTCGCTTCAAGAGTAAGTTTTAGGATGACTGGGAACAGCAGTGATGAGGAAGGTAAAAATGCTAGTGGTGTCCATGCACACAGAGATAAGTAACTCCCAGAAAAGTTCGAGCTATCCATGTGCTTTGGGTGAGGACTGCAAAACATACACAAGTACTTAGAACAGCACCTTGAGGCAGGTGATTATTATGTTAAGTGAAATAACTAGTCAGAGGGGGGAAAAAAGTATCACATGATCTCACATATATGTGGACTCTAATGAACAAAATAAACTGACAAAATAGATCCAGAGACATGAAAGCATGCAACAGACTGACAAATCTCAGAGGGAAAGTAGGGGGTGGGGGACGGGGAGAGATTAACCAAAGATGTTATATGCATATATGCATAACCCTTGGACACAGACAATAGTGGTGTGAAGGCTGGGGGATGGGGGGCTATAGGGGGAAAGATCTGTAATACTTTCCACAATACATATAAATAAATAAAGACCACATGAATTAACTCAGTTTGAGTCTTACCCTCCAGAATTTTAGTTCCTTTTAGTGTTGGCAAATACTCAACTTTTTACGTTTATGAAGTATTCTATACACAGGAACAATATAGCATGTTTTAGTACTCAAATATACACGCAAATACTTTTTTAAAATATATTTTACTGATTTTGTACAGAGAGGAAGGGAGAAAGTTAGAGTTAGAAACATCGATGAGCGAGAGTCATCGATCAGCTGCCTCTTGCACACCCCCTACTGGGGATATGCCCGCAACCAAGGCACATGCCCTTGACCGGAATCGAACCCGGGACCCTTCAGTCCCCAAGCCAACGCTCTATCCATGGAGCCAAACCGGTCTTGACTATACACGCAAATACTTAAGCCTTGCTCTTTACGATGATAGACATGGGCATGCCCATAGGTTTCAGAGTTGTAAGAGATGGTTGAAATTATTTGGTCAGCTCGCCCACCGTCACTGGAGAATTTGCAGAGGAGAACTGGGCTGAAGGAGGCTGGGGCTGATCCAGGAGCGCTCGGTTGTAGAGCCAGAACTAACACCTGGAGGAACTCTAGGTTCTGGTCTAAGCTCCTCTCATACCGGAGTACCGTGGCAGCCTCCTGAACATGAGGAAGCAGCCCCACAGACATCCCCCAAGGTGCCCGCTGGACGGGACCAACAGAAGCGCCGCTCCGCCGACGCAGGAGCCAACCTCACGGGGCTCAGAAAGGCGCCCTGAGACGAGGCGGGGCCGGTGCTCTCGGCCGCCCCCCGCCTCCCAGTTGGCGGAGGGGGAAGCCGCCTGGAAACCCGCCGGCCTGGGCGAGGGTGCGGAGTGGGCAGTGGCCGGAGGCGGAGCCTGCGCGCTACCCTCGGGGGCGCCTCCACGGGGACCCGCAGGCTGCACGCGGGGCTCGGGCAGTGCCGCCGGGGCTGGCGGGCGGGCAGGGGCCGCGCGGGCCGCCAGAGGAAGCGCTTCTTCGCCAGCGGAGCCCGGCGCTTGGCTCCCGGCCCACTGGGGGCGAGGCGGCGCCGAGGAACCCCGCGGCCCGCCATGGGCAGCCCCGGGAACCGCAGCCTCGGCGCGGAGGGCGCGGGGCCGCCGCCCTGGGCCGCGCTGCCTCCCTGCAACGAGCACCGCTGCTCGCCCTTCCCGCTGGGGGCGCTGGTGCCGGTGACCGCCGTGTGCCTGGGCCTGTTCGCCGTCGGGGTGAGCGGCAACGTGGTGACGGTGCTGCTCATCGGGCGCTCCCGGGACAGGCGCACCACCACCAACATGTACCTGGGCAGCATGGCCGTGTCCGACCTGCTCATCCTGCTGGGGCTGCCGCTGGACCTGTACCGCCTGTGGCGCTCGCGGCCCTGGGTGTTCGGGCCGCTGCTGTGCCGCCTGTCGCTGTACCTGGGCGAGGGCTGCACCTACGCCTCGCTGCTGCACGCCGCGGCGCTCAGCGCCGAGCGCTACCTGGCCGTGTGCCGCCCGCTGCGCGCCCGCGTGCTCGCCACCCGCGCCCGCGCCCGCGCGCTCATCGCCGCGCTCTGGGCCGTGGCGCTGCTCTCCGCCGCGCCCTTCCTCTTCGTGGTGGGCGTCCAGCAGGACCCGCCGCCGGGCCGCAACGCCACGGGCCCCGCGCCGCCGCCCGCGGCCCCTGCCCGCGGGGCCCCCCCGGAGCCGGCTCTGCCCCCGGCGCAGTCCCCGCCGTCGGGGCGCGAGGCGGCCGCGCTGTTCAGCCGCGAGTGCCGGCCGAGCCCCTCGCAGCTGGGCGCGCTGCGCGTCATGCTGTGGGTCACCACCGCCTACTTCTTCCTGCCGCTCCTGTGCCTCTGCGTCCTCCACGGACTCATCGGGCGCGAGCTGCGGCGGAGCCGGCGGCCGCTGCGGGGCCCCGCGGCCTCCGGGCGAGCCCGGGGCCACCGGCAGACCGTCCGCGTCCTGCGTAAGTGGCGCCGCGTCCGTGCCACCCGCGCCACCCGCCAGGTCCCCGGCCCCGCGCCCCCGCCGGCTGTGTCCCCGGGGCCCCGAGGCTGGGAGACCCGGGGCCTGTGCACAGCCACGTCTCAGAGCCGCCGGGAGCGGGGAGCGGGCTGAGCTGAGAGCAGTGATTGGGGCGCTTAGAGTCCCTGTTAGAGGCCGCAGATGTGGATTCTCACAGCATCCTTGAGAATACAGGGTAGATCACGTTAAGCTAAAATGTCTTTACTTAATGCTAAGTTTTCCGCAAGGTTAAAGTGAACCATGCCCATAACCATACATGCATACATACATACTTACATGCATACATGCATGCATGACCCATTGCAGAATTCTTTTCACCAGAAAGCAGAGACCATGTCGCGGAGTGGCCGTGTGGAAGGAAGCCTGTCAGCTCGTTCATAGAATGTGCTCCTTCTGCTTTAGTACGTCCAGCCTTGGTAGCACATGTATTAGCCAAATCTGCAACTTTAAGGCAAATGTAGGTGGGCCGGGGATTTGGTTAGGTCCAGGTTTTATCTGATTGTTTGCTGTTACTTATTACCCCCGCTGGTTTCTTGGGACCCTTGTTTGTTTTTAAACGCCTTCGCTCACTCTGGTGCCTGTGTCTTGTTTTGCAGTGGTGGTGGTTCTGTCCTTTATCGTTTGCTGGTTGCCCTTCCACATTGGCAGAATCATTTACATAAATACGAAAGATTCCCAGACCATGTACTTTTCTCAATACTTTAACATCGTTGCGCTGCAACTCTTCTATCTGAGTGCGTCCATTAACCCGATCCTCTACAACCTAATTTCAAAGAAGTACAGAGCAGCGGCCTGGAAGCTGCTTCGGGGGAGACGGCCTGCGCAGAGAGGATTCTGCAGAAGCAGAAACACGGAGGGCACCGCGGGAGGAGACCCGGCTGGCCGCACGGAGACCAGCGCTAGCCTGCGGACGCCTGCCACCAGCATGGCCAAGCAAGGCGCCTCCTGCCCCAGTGCTCGGACGGCAGAGAAGACAGGTCTGTAGGACACTAAGGACTGAAAGGGGAATAGACGCTGTTAGGAAGATTTAGAGCGGTGCACATTTTGTAAGTTGGCCAGTAACTTCGTTAGCATAATTTTTTTTTCAATCAAGATATAAAAAGTAAGTGTGTTGATCTTTCTAGTTTTCCTTTCATGTACCTCCTCAGAGACATTCATTTTAGCCTCATGCAGTCCCAGTCGGGAAATGTGCTCTATGGAGGTTTGACACGTCTTCATTCTCCTAGTCTTTGGAAATATGATTGTTCCTTTTACAGTTAGTTCATAAGGTACAGAGAGATGCTGCAATAAAAATGGTTGTCTTTGAGATCAAAGGTGTATTGTGTTTCTATGTTTTGTAGATAAATGTTACAATGCATACACAAGGAACCCAGGATAATGACAGTAGTGATTCAAGAAATTATTTAATGCCTATTTATGGCAGCAAAATTTTTTAGAAGCAAGTGAAAGGAATTCTGGGCTGAGTTCAATGTTCAGAGCCCCGCTTCTCTCCTGGCTCAGACTAAATCATAAAGTTTAGGCACAATACCTTCCAGCAGAACTACTGAGCATAAGCAACTGTGTTGCAACCTACTTCTCCAGCCAGGAGGTAGCAAACCCAGGCAGGAAGCCTGAGGGCAGGAAGCTGCAGCAGGACATCCGGTAAAGACCTTTAATGCGCCTTATTTGCCTCAGGTTGGTGGCTAAGTGTTGTCATGATTACTGCTTTAATAGAGATGAAACTGAGTCTTAGATTTCCCAAATAGGAACTGATGGGTCCTGAGAGTTCCAGTCTTTCAGATCTTTTATTTTTAAAAATAAAACAATAGCTGAAACCGGTTTGGCTCAGCGGTAGAGCGTCGGTCTGCGGACTGAAAGGTCCCAGGTTCGATTCCGGTCAGGGGCATGTACATTGGTTGCGGGCACATCCCCCGTAGGGGGTGTGCAGGAGGCAGCTGGTCGATGTTTCTCTCTCATCGACGTTTCTAGCTCTCCTTCTTCCTTCCTCTCTGTGGAAAATCAATAAAATATGTTAAAAAAATAAAACAATAATAATTTTACAACTCATTTAACAGCAGCTGGTAATCCTGAAATTAGCAGTGGTTATCTATTGTGCTAGCGGTACTGTCATTCCCTGAGGTCGATCAAAGTCACCTGAAGTCACACATTTCCCACTTAACATGCCTCATACAAATCAGACTTGATTTATCACCAGCATTGATAAAGCCAGACCCAGGGAAAGAACGAGGTCTGGGGACACGTGCCTGGTCTTAATATAGTGAATGTTTAGCCTGCCCTGGTTATTACAAAGTCAGAACAGGGAGATCATTCGAAACCTTTGAGATCTTTACCCACTCCCACCCGAAGAAGCTGCTCTTCGTGAAAAACACAAGTCAGTAGATGTAGTCAGGGTTGAAGGAGAATGTGTTGAACATTCTGACCAACAACTCTGTACCTTTGTTTTATTTTTCAGTTTAAAACATAAGCCTGTTTCCAGAGGTCCTCATTCACAGTGCGGTCTGTGTGAACGGTGCCCCCTGGAGGTGGGAAGGCACAACTTGCTGGGTAGTGAACTACAACCCAGTGAATCCGTAAACAAGGGTCACTCAACATGCCCACCAAGTTCTGCTTTGTCACTTGATTAGCCAAGGACAGTGCCGCCTCCAAGTCCCCTTAGCTAGTGGAAGAAGCAGACAGCAGCAGTCCCTAGACTCTGTTCTGCAGGTTTCTGAGGATTATTTGAAAAGTCTACTCACAGAGTTCCTGACTGGGCAGTCAAAAGTGGCTTCTTCCTTGTGGAAGGTCATGGGTAAGAACTTCACTGATGCCCAGTTGGCATGGCTCAGTAGTTGAATGCCGGCCGATGAACCAGGAGGTCAGGGTTCGATTCCCTGCCAGGGGCATGCCGGTGTTGCAGGATCCATCCCCAGTTGGGGCGTGAGGTGACAGCTGATAATGATTCTCGTCATTGATGTTTCTGTCTCTCTCTCTCTCCCTCTCTCTCTGAAATCAATAAAAAATATATTTTTTAAAAAGACCCTTACTGATATTTTATAATAGTTTAGGTATAGAAGAAAAGACCTCTCCTTGGAGCTTTCTTGTTAAGATTCTAGAAAAGGATTTACATCAGAGTGTCTGCAGGTTGGGCATGGTGCAGGATCCTTCGCTTAGGGCCCCTGAGTGGAGTCCCTGCACCCATCCCTCTAGCCCAGGGATCAGCACACTCATTAGTCAACAGAGCCAAATATCAACAGTACAATGATTGAAATTTCTTTTGAGAGCCAAATGTTTTAAACTTCTTCTAACGCCACTTCTTCAAAATAGACTCACCCAGGCCGTGGTGTTTTGTGGAAGAGCCACACTCAAGGGGACAAAGAGCCGCATGTGGCTCGCGGGCCGCAGTTTGCCGACCACGGCTCCAGCTGATCACTGTGCTGTTGTTTTCAAAACGCTGGTCTCACCCATTAGTCGATTGTGAAATCAGTGGAGTGGGTCACATTGTTCTTCAATGGGAAGGAATGGGCAAGAATAGAATTGGTAAATAGGCTCATCCCACATAGTAAGGGTAATTGTTGTATTGTGAAACTTTTGTCCAATTTTATGTTGGTTGGTGTCTTCCTGGTTCACAAAATAAAATTTTTCCTACTGTGGGTCATGGTAACGAATATTAGAAAAATTTATCTAAAATCTAAAACTGTTCTTACCCCCCGCTGAGAGTGTCCTTCTCCTGGACTTACAGGAGGGGCGTCCTGGGAGGTCCGGCATGGGTGAGGCGGGGGCACTGGAGGGGGACAGCAGGGTGCGGCTTTTCGACGTGGACCTTCCTCCTCCCGGGCCGTATCACGGAGACTCGCCTATACCCAGACAGAACCCTGAACTGGGGTCCCTAAGGGATCGCTTTGAGCCTCCTCTCCTTTCTGCAGGCCACACCATTTGTTTTGGGTGAAGAATGGACCTTGGAGAAAGGTTTTTGTTTCATTCATTCAGTTGGCAAATATTTACCAAACAACTGCTAAGCGCTAGATGTGTACTATAATAGTATGACAAAACACACTGGGAAAATTAACTCATGGTGTCCAAATCAACCTTTTAATGCATTTTTTTATTTGAAGTATGTGATTGTGTCTTCTTGACTAACCACAGACTCATCCCACACCTCCAGTGTCTGTCCATTGGTGTGCTTATATGCATGCATACAAGTCCTTTGGTTTATCTCTCTTCCCCTCACCCCCAGCACTCCCCAGCCTTCTCCCTGTAATTTGACAGTCTGTTCGGTGCTTTACTGCCTCTGTATCTATCTTTTTGTTCATCAGGTTATAATGTTCTTTATTTTCCATAAATGAGTGAAATCATGTGGTATTTTTCTTTCACCGACTGGCTTATTTCACTGAACATAATGACACTGCCACTTTCAACACCTCCCCTCGCCGAGACCTCTCGCAATGTTGCAGCCTCGGAGCAGCGAGGGTCCTTTCCCCGTCCTTAATCCCACCCGGGCACTCCCACCACGGCAGTGCCAGGGCCAGTGTGTCACCTCTTTCCTCTCACTTTTGCAGTGAGTGTGCAAGTTCCAAAGGTGTTCTAAGAAATTCTACTACTTGTGATGATAGGGAGATAAACAAATTTTTAAAACAAATATGTGCTAATTTCAAGGTTATGTCTTAATTTTGCTATAATAATACCTGTTCATAGCTAGAACATAAATAGAGCCAAATGTGATCTTTCTTTGCTTCTGGCTTACTTCCACAATAATTCATTACTTTGTCCGTATAGTGAACATCAGCTCCCTTCTCTCTGGATTTCTTGAATTCTCTAGAGCAGCAATTTTCAACTGGTGTGCAGCAAGGGCTTGCACTGTTTAGTCAGGGTCATTGATCTCTTTTCCCTTAGAATTGTCAAATTAAAAAATGACAACAGCCGAAACCGGTTTGGCTTAGTGGTAGAGTGTCGGTCTGCGGACTGAAGGGTCCCAGGTTCGATTCTGGTCAAGGGCATGTACCTTGGTTGCGGGCACATCCCCAGTGGGGGGTGTGCAGGAGGCAGCTGGTCGATGTTTCTCTCTCATCGGCGTTTCTAGCTCTCTATATCTCTCCATTCCTCTCTGTAAAAAAATCAATAAAATGTCAGCCAACACAATAGCTATCTGGTGTAGACGAATCAAAATTATACCTATTTTTTGTCAGATCAGCAAAAATATCTTTTGGCGTGCCTCAGAATTAGTTTGTGTGTGCCATGAGATGAACAAAGTTGCTCTAGAACGTGCATAAGAATCACCTGGGGGTGGGTTAAAACACAGATTGCTGGGCTCCCCATGCCAGACTGCTCTCTGACATGTCTGTCCCATAAGCTGGACCCGACCCAGAATGGAGGTTGCTTTCTGCAAGGCGCCCCTAGAGTCTGCCTGATGGTAACTCTTGTTCATTCTGACATAAGCCTCCCTCCCTGCCTTCTGCTACGTGCTGGTTCCTGGAACAGGTGGTTGTCCTGACCTGGTCAAACATGTGACTAATTTCTGTATCTGGTTGCATTCACGTACGTGTTCCCGTGGCTATCCACCCCTTTACCTTATGTAATTCCCCTGCCAAGTAGCGAGGGGATCCATTTTGTGGTGCAGTCACCTCAGACACACCTCGTATGTAAGTTTCCCTCAATAAGCTCTACTAGTTACCAGACTGAACTGGCCAGCCTCTTTCTTCAGCCTTTCCCTGCTCTCCACTTCCAGAGGTAGCTTTTCAGTCTCAGGGTTTTCGTTGGGTCTTGCTGTATGAACACCCACCCCCTGAGTTTCTGATTCAGAGCCTGAGTTGGGGCCCTAGAATGTGCATTTCTCTCCGGTGACCAGTGCTGCTGATGGGGATGACCCTCAGAACCCCTGCTGTAGATTGTTGCTACAGAAAATGAGATCCACAGACCAGTGGCATTAGCATCACTCGGGATCTTGTTAAATTGCATACTTTTCAGGTCTCACCCCCATCCTTCGGAATCAGAATCTGCATTTTAACAAGGTCCTCAGGTGATTCCAATGCACATTAATATTTGAGTCATTAATCTGGAGACTAGATCAGTGCCATCAGAATCTCTGGGGGTTTGACCCAGACATATTTTTTAAAAGCTCCCCAGTCTCTCATTCTCATCCCACTCAACTCGTCCTTCCCACCCCTTTCCTCTGTTTACCCCAGGATAAGTAAAGAGATACAAAAAGAGTAAACAGATTCTAAATGTGGGTTTGGGTGGTGGATTTGTGTGGAAGTCACTTATGTTCTAGCAGAAACTCATGACTGTGATCCAATAACGACTCCCTGGCTCTTTAGCCCTTCAGACCTCGTGATCTCTACCTGTGGGAGCAGCCAAGCCACTGCCAATGCTGACTGAGGCCCTTCTCTCTGCAGGCCAGGCTGAGTCCCGTCATCTCTGAGTGCTCATTTCAACAACTAGGCCTCCACCACTGGGCCCGCTCTTCAAAACACGTTTAACTTGTTTAACCTGATTTGGTTCCTTGACCTCTTCCTCATCCTCCAGGACAGACCTACTCAGCTCTTCAGGGCCCTCATGGGTCTTGGTTCCCTGATTCTTTGACCACATGGTCCCTGTGGCCTGTGGGTGGCTCTGGAGCATTCCACCTGCTGCCCAGACTCCTGCCTCGCGCTGGTTGCTGAGATCAGCCAGAGTTGCTTTTCAGGCGGACGGACTGGTCTCCAGGTTCCAGTGAAGGGCTGCCTCCTGAGTCTTGGCTCTGATAAGCCACAACAATAGCTTGTTTGTCCCCCGAAAGTCATCTCGGATCTCTAGCCTTTCAATACCGAGTCCCTAAA